AGGGTCACAATGCACTATAAAACAGGAGTTTCAGGCACGTGATTTCTCTCAACCAATGGGATTTTGGAGGTATGCAGGCCCTAGCTGCGAGTGCTTGACTCACGTAAGGCTTGGTGCCTGGAAACACCTGGCAAACTGATTCATTAGCAAAGGCTGTGCGTTTTTGCATCATACATCAACAGTCACTATTACTCACATATTGCTGCCGCTGCTCAACTACAAACTTCGTTTGAACAGATGATAAATGCCTATACGCAAAAAACTTTAGAATCACACTTAGCATCTGTTTTCTATGTGTTAAAATACTATATGGAACTGATTTTAAGCAAACTTCAACCCAGATTATGTCATGCTAGGTAGCTATAACCTCTAAAATACCATTTTTGTCGACTACGTGCTGCTTTAAATTAAATTGTCTACGTCACGAATTTCTAGCACCAGCAAGTAGTATATTTGTGTGTTATTTGTACAAAATAAAATGTATGAAAATACAATTAGTGTTTCTGTTTACTTTTCATGCACCTTATATACCTTCTTTATACGGACCCTAATTTGCCGGTGCATTCGATGTAACCAAACGCTCGACACAAACACAACCGCCATTAATTCGAAACTCTGGCGTGGCGCCCAGACGCAGCTAGCCCCTATAGCGAACATCTGCGGTAAACGAGGCATTGGCAAAATTATTGTCGCAGCCATGGAAATGCCTTGTAAACTTAAAGTGATTACGTCACCGTAAATAGTAAAAATAAAAAATATATTTCCACTTTTTCACAAAATATAAGTAATTCTGTTCACTTTTTATGGTTAAATTGCTGTATTATACTTCCTATTTTACTATATTGTTCGATGTGAACATACACTCGTAACTCATACATAGCCCATAGCAAGCAATTAATGTAAGGAACATAATATCAAATCGTCCAAGTTTTTTGGATTTTTAACTAGACAATCTGCAGCCGGATATCCGCGCGAAGCGCGCAAACGCCGCCTCGCGGCAGCTTTCAGCAACATCGCTGACTAATCTGAATTTACTTCAAACGGGCCCGGTATCACGCGAAAGCGTATAATCGTTGAGCTTGAGCAGTTCTGACGATTGTGACGACGATTTCACTACCCATGTAGCTTGAGATTTGCCTGAAATGCTCCTATACTTTTTGCGACCTGGCGCGCTCGTTTTGCTGTAAAACAAACTTGATTTGCACTTTCTCTTGTTTTTCAGTTTGACTGAGTGTAATACATATGGCGTGCGATAGACGCGCACACGACGCCGAGGCTATGGGCCATAGTTAGACTGGGCGTTCGCACACCGTTATACCTCCGGCATATCGCACACTCACGTAGTTAGCGTTGTGACAGCTGTCCGACCGCGCGGTACCAGTTATATTGCACATGCTTGATAGCATGGCGTCTTACGTTATAAAGCATGGAAAAGTTTCTTATTGTTCGTCAGTTTGAATTCGTTAATTACATGCGAGCCGCAACTAAATTTTTGTCATCGGAAGGTCATCTAATTAAAGAGGAGTCGAAAATTTTGTTATAGGGCAGACTAACGACTATAAAAAATAAGGTATATGTAACAAGCGTAGATCAGCTTCCCATTTGTTTACATACCGCGGCAGTGGTCCGGTACCGTGGTTATGTCGAATCGTATGAACTGCAGTGCAGACCTTTGCAGCTCATAAACATATATCTACAGTGTTGCGGTTATGTTGCATTACTATCATAGTGCGCGGAAGTGTACTGGCAGTAGTGTAGTGTACGTAGCAGCTTGCTGTATACTGGAGTTCAAGCGATAGAGAAATGGGTCCACCTAAAACAACTGTCCTCTCTACATCACCATATAATATAATGATTATATCAATATAACCTAGGTTCAGGGTTTGGTTAGGGTTATGGTTAGGGTTAAGGGTTAGGGTTAGAATTAGGGTTAGCACATTTGCGTTTTGTATGGACCCATGTTCTCTATCCTTGGCCGTAACTGATCCATAGACTAGTTAGATAAGCGTTAGTAAGCTGACCGGACCGTAAATCTAACCCACTAATTCATAAAAATGGGGGCTCATGTAATACAGAAATGAATAAACCCTGAATGTTCCAATTATATGTATATACAGGTTACTTTTACTTGCCTCATCAGCCCTAACATAGAATACGATGTATTCGACTGTATGTGTTGTGCCGCGTTTTGTGCCTGTATTGCTGACGATGTCTCGCCGCTTGCCTTAGTCACTTGATCGACGGTAATCAACGGTGGAGCGAGTCCAGTCCATATATAGCTTGGTCTTGCCGAGCCATTTCCATTACTGGGCAGCGTCGCGAACGGCGAGACATTTCGTCCATCTTTCTTGTAGATGTTGTCGCGTCACACCAGCTCGGTTACGAAGGGGTGGAGGAAGATGTATGGGGTGGTGTTGTTTGTGGGTATGATATCGAAGGGGGGTGGGTGAACACGTCAGTCCCAAATGTCCTACCTCTGTGTCCCCCACTAAACCATTGCGCCGACTTGTCGCTGGCCAGCTATGGCAATCCGGCCGCGGCGCCGGCCAATTCATTCGGCGACAGATCATAGCATGCAGCGCCTGCATACTGTAGGTAGACCGTCCGCCGTCCGCGTGCGCCTCTGCCGGGAACTCGTGCGGCAGGAGCTCGCAGCTTATCGCTTTTCGGCATACAACATCTTTACTTCGGGCAACGCTTCCTCTAGTATCCAGTCTCACTCTGAGACAACAATGTTATCAGGGTAAGAATCTGACGATACGTTTCAACGTCCCGTTAGTTCTTACTTTGAATGTAAAAGAAATGGCAACAATTTTCTTTTTACAAATCTCTACCATCAGAATCTGTGCACCTATCAAAAATTAAGCCTGGGAGTTTCTAATATACAATTCTTTCCTGCCTTTTTCCGGTCCGCTGTCGTCTTTCTTTCGATGCACGAGAATTGAACTAGGTTTGCCCCCCACCATTGCTTTATCGTTTAGCTGACTCTAGCTTTCGGTACAGGGGGATGTCGCAAGACACTTTTCGTTGGCAGAAATTTAAAAAAAAACACAATAGCATTATCGCACCCGCCGTTTTATTCTATAATTTTCAAACATAATACACGAGAACAAATATATATATTTATTTTTCCGAGATTATAATATTATTATATAGGACGCTAAACACCGATCAAAACAGAAACATGTTTACCCGGCCAACCACTCGGTGCCACACATACAACAAATCACGATGAACACGCCACCGAGAGATGCAGTAAATAATGTCTCTAGACTATAAATAGTGTTGACGGCCAGTAATTCCAAGATCGTCTATGATTTTTGAAAATGTAACCTACGTAATAACCATTATTCATCAGGTTGGAGTTTGAGGATATTTTAGTAACGTTAGTACTAAGCTTTTGAGTGTACACATTTTTTACAAAAGTAAGGGTTTACAACTATAACTCTCAGGAGATTCGTGACGTAGACAATTTAAATGATACTATCAGGTTGCGTCATTATATAGACGCGATATTTATGACGACTCTGACATATAATGATAAATAACATGAAGAGAGCATTGAATAGAAAGTAAGTAAGTGCAATTGTATTGGATTAGTTAGATTGTGTAAGCCATGCGTGCAATTTTAGGTTTTTTTGGGTTGTCGGGAGGACAACCAAGAGGGCAGCATATGACGTTAGTCCTCAAGAGTTTTGGTTGTCCGGATATTATTTAAACATGTGCTGCAATGCGCTCTGCTCACGTGATGCTCAGGGCTGTAATAAAGGCAAAGGCCCTAATCATGTACATTTGGTACGTATTGCAGTGGACAGCATGACATGGCACGATTCGCATTGTTTCACTCATTATATGAAGAGAATAAAATATTGGTAATGTGGTAAATGATGCTGGGATCAATGACGTATAATAATAGTAATTAAAAGTTGCATGAAATTTATTTCATAACATTTACATTAACACTGTGTCAAGTCACAGATGAGCAAAAATTGAAAATTAACAAATTAAAAAAAATTTCCACAATTAATTTAGAGGTTGGACACCGGACAACCACGGAAGCAATTTGAAGTTGCCCGAGAGAAAATCCAGTCGTCACGGACGACCGGACGACTGTTAAAATTGAGCCCTGAAGACTTACATGATCAAAACGAATTCTGGCAATTTATTTTTTAAACTTTAGTGCTATGCCAAAGGCTAATGTACTCCCATATTTATATTTAAATCATTTTTATTATTTTAAAAACCCACAGTTAATAAGCAGTATCTATTATATAGATGTAACATTTCAGATTTGTTTGTTCATAGCAGTACTTGGCTAACAAAGAGCTAGGAACCTCAGTATATATGTGTTTACAGTGATTACTATGTGCCTTTGTTGTAACAGTCATAACACAGTTACACTGCACTTCATATATTACTAGCTAATGTTAATGTTAATCCTAATTCAACACACAAACCTTCTTGTAATAGTTATAATGGAAGTATTTAGATAAACATGAAGCTGAAGCCTATTTGTTTGTTTATCAAATTTATTTGTGCCCAAAAAATATTACTCAAAGATGTCAAGACGCATGAGGACAAAAAATTTCCCCAAGCATGGCAAGCTGTTTAGCCTTGACAATCCACCGTTACGCAAATCCATCCCTGCTTTTCGACCCCCTGCTTGTGGGGAATTGTATTACCCATCTTATCTACTGCAATGCCCGCTTCAGTAATCTGCCAAATTTCTATTTCCAGAAAAGCCCAAATGATCTTAGTCTCAGCAAGCTGACTTTTTTTAGCTATGCTAATATAAACATAGCAGCATTAAGATATGCATAAACTGTGGACCTGAACAGTACATGTAAATGATTAATTAGCAAGTACCTGGGAATCTGAGTGAGCACTTTTTTCGGTATTTCAAGTGCTGCCATGCACTACCCCACGCTTAGGTCTGGGCACGCTGACTGGCATGATTACAGCCTGGGCACCCCCATCGTCTCGAAGGTTTGTCTACTTACCGTAGCGTGCATCTCCGAGCGCCGGCAGGCTGTAGAATTCATACTTGCCATCACCCAGGTTCAACGTTTGCTTGAGGTTATCGTAGGGGTTGATCAAACCTGCAAAGACCGCAGATCAAACACGGTTTACACAAAGTCACTCAGTTATTTTGTTAGTTGTTAGTTATTGTCTGACATTGACAGGCATGCGATTCATTACTATGCAGAGCAATTCTATGAAAACAATACGAAATTATAGATGCACATTTCAGAATAATATAATCTTAACATGGTTCGAATTTTTAAGCATAGCATTAGCTGTGAAGAGTTCAACCATTAACCTACAAGTACAAGTACAACTGAAAATACTAAAATCCTGCACTAAGATTAAGAATAAGATTAAGACTAAGACTAAGAGTGTCTGTTGACAGTCTGAGTGAGATTAGAGAAACTTTAGAATAGCATAAAAATAATAAATCATAGATACTCAAGTCCCTCGGCCTCGGTTTGGATATCAGCGGTCCTTTTTTAATTTATTCAGATAAATATCCAAAATGATAATGATCACATGCGGCAACCGTACGCGGGCTATAGTTAGGCCTACTAATAAGAGCTAACGTTGACATTGAGGAAAATGGTGGACTATCCGACTAGATAGATCTATAAATATACTGCCATTGATTTGTACGTGCGGAATGTTGGCACTGGTCGGCTATAAAATTTATTTTGGCGTGGGGAAAGACAGTTTAGCATGTAACCATCATTACAACACAGTCGTTCATTACTGATGTAGTAAATAAACCGCTAAACAACTACTTACGTTCAGCAGCCATGATTTCTGCGTTGCGAGTCACGTAAACTGGGGAGACGAATGATCTTATTGGTCCCCGAAATCCGGCTAATGCAGATGCCTTAAAATATTGATTTTTTTTAAACAGGCTCCGTCGCTAGACGGCGGGACTGACAAACGGCAACGGTGCCCACGGGTTTGTCTATATTCAGGCCGGTACGGGAGATTACGGTACGCATATATTTGCTAATATATTGGACTAATCGCCGCGTCAATAAACTGCAATATTCACAAGAGAGTATAGCTAAGACATGTGTCTATAGGTATCTAGAATATATTATGCAAATGATCTCCCGTACCGGCTTGAATTCATATACTCTGTGAATATGAGTTTATTGACGCACGATTTAGTCAATATAGCAAATATATTGGCGCGCGAAGTGAGATACAGGATGACTAAAATTTCTAAAATTCTAGATACCTATAGAACACATGTTCTAGTATTACTCTCTGTGAATATTGAGTTTATTGACGCACGATTAGTCAATATGATTACAGAATATATGCGTACCGTAATCTCCCGTACCGGCCTGAATATAGACACTCCCGGTGCCCACTGCCTTCCACTGAGCCGAGAGAAGACCATGCCCGTGGGTCCTCTGTACTACTGTAGGATGCTATATTTAAAAAATAAATTTCGGGAGCTGAAAATAATTATTTCGACTATTTTCTGCCGGGCTCTCCGATTGGTCGGCGGACGACGCGTCACATTCCCTAACCCCACCGTTAACACCACCGTTAACCCCACCCCACCGGTTAATGAACCAGTAAAGATTTAGGCAGTGGCTACGGGTACGGTAGCCGTATCTTAATGTCTCGAGGCTACGGGTACGGGAGTCTATTCGCTTTCATACTTAACGAGACAAAGATGGCGGCGGTGGCAAGATTTCGAAATAACGGCTTGGGAAATAAATTCACGATTTGAGAGTTTAGATGAGCTAGAACCCTAACCCTAACCCTAAACCTAACCCTAACCCTAACCATAACCCTAAACCTAAACCTAACCCTAATCCTAAGCCTTATCCTAACCCTAACGCCAAAAAGGGGCTTCAACGACCGACGGCTACCGTACCCGTAGCCACTGCGAAAGATTTAATGGTGGTCACGTTTCAGCTGTTATGCAACGGTGCGAAGGCACCATGCAGTGAGCTGTACATAATAACAGATATTGGTGCCTTTACACCGTAAATGTTTTCATGTGGTACTAGATAATTCCTAGCAGTAATAATGCAGTGGCACTAGGGTGTGTCGGTCGGGCCACTGGCGCCCACAGGTCTTAAGAAAGTAGAATCACAGAAGGATAAAACCCTCAGTGATAATAATAAGCAGGAGCGCTGCATGCTAGGGGGGGTCTGGGGGCATGCCCCCCTGAAAATTTTTAAATGGTAGAAGTCTGGAGATGCAATCTGGTGAGTCTTGCGAGAGAGATTTAGGAACAAAATGTAGGAAAAAAATTTTTTAACCCAAAATTTACTGGAAGCACTGTGCTGGTCTGCGGGCGCCAACTGTGTCCGCTACTGGGATGCAGACACTGCCCTCGGGATTAGAATGACATAGGGCTATATTTCATGGTATAATTTTGGAATAATAGTAATTTAAAAAATACTATGCACGCAATTGAACAGTCACAATCGAAAACAGACTACCGCGTACTGTTAACACGGACACACGCGGACTGCCTTGATAACAACAACATAACCTTTAGAGTACGTATTTATTAAATTCATAGCACATGCATGCCATTACACAGTCGCGAGGGTGGCAGTCGCGCGCAATACAACAGCGGATGTTTTCAGCCGAATGATATGACATATGAGAGTTACGGCCGAAACGTTGATGCTATAAACTGACAATTGAAACGTCATAAGCAGTTCCTGTCACCAACATAACACGCGGCGGGTGGCGGTCAGGGCCAAACGGGGCGCACGCACCCCGATCGCGGACCTAATACACGCGTGGGCACCTTAACAGGAGCGAGTAAATAAATGTACTCGTGAATATAATATCTAGAGTTCTTCATTGCAGGTAATTCGAATACAAAACCACACAGAAAAATAAGAAGAATTCAACACATTCTATGCTTATTAAAAATAAAGATACGGGACCGCAAACGCCCCACTGTAATGTGGGGCGACAGTAGCGATATTTAGCTGCCAGCTCGTTTCATTATTTCTTCCTCACACATTTCTTTCATTTCTTTCTTAATCAGATAAATCTATCTCAGTGCATTTTGCATAACCCCACCCATAGTCCGAGACACATGTCCGCTTCCCTTTGCAAATTATTATCGTGCAACATGTGCTCATGCGTCGAGGAGTAAGAACGAAAATTAATTTAATTGGTTATATAACAAAACGGGTTTCTTCAACTCGTAAATAAATATTTACCAAACAAAATCTTATTTGGATAAAACTATTTGTCCAAAAGAGAGAGCAAATACTAATTAGCAGTATAATATGAAAAATCCACACCTCAATCTCACACCTTATTAATTATACCATTATTTAAGGCAACTTTTCTTCCCTAAATACCATAAGCGGTAACATGGGAGAGATCTGTGTTCGCGCATGCCCGCTATACGCCAAAAAAAACATTGTTTTATGGAAATTATACACATTAAAAGTGGAGAGCATAATATATGCTCGCGAGTAGTTTTATAGGATATGTATCCATTCTAATATTTTACTTATATAATTACAAGGCGCTAAAATGTGTATTACACCTGGTAAACGTTAGCGCAATAAAAATCAAAGTGGGTGTAAATAAAGCAAGAAAAACATTTTACTGGTGGTCATAAACAAAGTGTTGCGAACTCAAATAAAAACTACAGAACTCAGTATATATGTGTATACAGTCATGTGTTCATAAACGTATTATATAATTTTATCGACTACTGAGTTCAAGGCACATATGGTTGCTACAGTAACCAGTTTTTGGGTAATAAGAGGGATCTTGACGTCATAGATGGAAAATGTCAATCAATGTCGGTAAGGTCTGACTCATCGCTGAATGTCGACTTCGTATCCCGACACGCATAACATCTCTCCTGCAAATGAAAAGTTACATATAATCGAACCAAGTTCATAAACTATCGACAGTCGCAAGTCTAAATATGAAACCCTTTATTATATATTATTTATTATAATAAGCCCTTATTATACGTAGCGAAGAACTAAGTATGTATTAATTACCACATTTCTTACATCCGAAGACGCGAGCGGACGTGATACAAAGTAATTTAGGTAACCGACGCGCCATACATTAAAATAACCGATAAACGAGGACGTCACCCAGAGTAGTTAAAGACTCTCACGCGCCTCCTCATTATCATGCCTGCCTGGTAAGCGCGGAATACGAGCTAAATATTTCTCCACGTAACTTATCCCAGTCAATTAGTTCTATGAGAACACATCGAAAACGTAGATACGCCCGTAAGATATTCTCCCACCGTAACGTGGCGCCCTCGGGTGCAAGTTGACACAGTAAAAAAATATTGCAATTTATATAATACACCCAGCTGTCAGCTGGTAACATAGTTAATGCACTGTCGTGATATATCTCCGCATAGTGTGAGCAGCCCTGACCTACTCACTCAGAAGGTTACCACTGTAATCCCTAACCCAACTAATCGGCTAGAACAATGCCTCTAAAATTGCCGACGTTAGCGAAATACACGTTGCTATCAGTGTATGTAAATTTGGACCTATGGGCTTATGTAATATTTTCCAGATTTGTCATTTTTTTGGGTAGATTCTTGGCACTCATGTCTAAACATATCTAGAAACTTCACTGATTAAGAAAAAAATGGGTGCCAGTTTTTCCATTAACATTTAGGGCCTCCATTTTGAATTTCAAAATGGCCATCACGGAAAATCTTCTTTTTTTTTTAATAATTGCCAATTAACCATAACTATTCATTCAAATGTCATACAATATTTATTCTATTTTATTTAAACTCATATAAAGGGATCAAAGATTCATTGGAAACAAAATTAGAGCACTCGAAATACTCCAAAATAGCAAAAATCCAAGATGGCCACCATATTTCAGGCTTTTTCTACGTAAAATGTCATACGTTTGTACCAATGGACATTGGAAGATTTTTTTGGTGTCTAACCATATGTTTTCAGTTGGCATATGAAGATTCCAATAATAACAACGTATTTATGATTGGAACACTCTTTACCATCCTCCAAAACACTTAAGAGAAATAATGTAGAAGATGTAATTCAATATAAAATTCAATTTATAACTTGGACAGGAAAGAGAAAAAAGGAACTCTTCACAGCCATGTATAACTTTTTACCGGACGGTTCATCCTCTTCGCCAAGACCAGCTAGTGCTATCAGGATGGCGGGGCTTGCCTTCAGGAAAGTTGCAAGCATCCCTTCTTTCCCTTTCCTTGGATATGTCCTGTCGTTCACAGCCTGTGAGAGCATGCCAGTTTATCAAGCTGCTGATTTCTCCGGTCCAAGCTGTAGGCTGTAGGAAGACTTTTCGTCGTCTTCTCTTGTCCCCATGATTAGCGCAGAATGGTTGCCAGTAGTGCGTTCTTCGTAGAGCAAAAGCAGCACATCTGTGTCTTGAGAATATATGTGGACCTTAATCCCGTTGCTCGCAACTTCTACAGCATGATAAATCATAAGAGTGTCCGCCTCTTCCTGTGTGCTGACACCGGGCATTATTCAACATTCATAATTCGTCATGACCTCCTGCCGTGTTGCAGTCATGACCTTGACGGTACTGTAGCGTATAAGCTGATGGAAAAGTAGAGAGTTAGCGAATCCTTTGTGCTGGCTTCTGGCGAGAAACATCTTCTGTCTTTGATGCCCGTTGAGTCTTGAATTATGTAGGATTAGTTACCACCACATTGCCTTTCCGTCGCTCTCTAGTCTGTTTCTTCATTGATGCTTTATTGGTGTAGTTATCAAATATAACTCGCACTTGACAATATCCTCGAGCCTTTGAGTCAATGAGTGTGACGAAGGATGTTGCAAGCTCTTTGCAAGTCTTGAAATTCTTGATTGCCATCAACTCCTGTACCACTCCCATTCCATCAAC